CTATTCCATTGACATGTAAAACAGGGCTAAGCTGGACTGAAATCACCATAACACATTATACAGTATTTTCTTCCTACAAACAAAATGGTTCGACATATTGTTTTTTTATTTAATTCTGTTAATTTGCGTGGAAAATCACCATTCAACACAACACCTTATTAAATTACTTTGAAAAGGATTATTTTAAAAATGCAATTTCATTGAAAAGTACACACAAGTATTGTTAGAAATCAACTAGTCAAGGGGCAGTGGATGAATGTAGTAAAGCAAAATGTGTTTATTATTTATTCCTGAATGCTATCAGGTTATTTCCTGCATGCATGGATGGAAATAGCGAGTGAACATGAACCTCGACCACCGGAGGTCTCTATACCCCACCTTTTATAGTGATATTTACCACCCAAGCATGCAAATAAGTGGATCTAGACTCACAGCATGGAGAGGGTTCTAAAACAGGGCTGGACTTGGTCGGGAACCAAGGGGAAGCACCATGTTGGCACAGAGCGGCGACATGGCACTGTGGAGTAGCGTAGCCATAGCAGCACTGACCAAAAAGTTGCCTTCCAGTCTCCTACTCCGGCCTATGGCGGTGGGCTCTGTAATCACCTCTCTCCACAGCCGTAAGCAGCTTATAGCTTTATCCCAAATTCTGCTACCGCCTAAAACATGCATGCAGACGAGGCTGGGCTCCCCATAACAGCCATTGCATAAACCCAGCCAAGGCATTATTCACCACAACAACCTAGCAAATGCTTCCAAATCAGTTCTGATTCAAAGTCAAGTGGCATAAGCATGTTGTACACTTGGAGGCAGACTAATCTTATTCACAGTGTGAGTGCCCCCTTTAGCATACAGACATCCCGAGGGGACGGTTCAAGGAAGAGGGCAGAGCTGCTGCTACACTGGTGAAGAATATCTCTTCTTCAGTCAGGCAACGGGGAGAGTCTTGTCAAACTGTGTCGGTTGAAAATGCAATAATATTTTTTTTTCCATGTACTTCAACTGTCTAAACTACAGATGACCCAAATCTGTGCGTGTTCGGGACAAACAATGCCAATATGAGAAGAAAAGAATGGGTTTCTCCTGGTTACATCATACCATGGTTGGAGGGTGTTGGAGCAGAGAACATCAGTCAGCTATCAGCTGTTTGACCAGCGGCTCGGTTAACAGAGACTTTCAGGGGGGATGAAGTAAAGACCATTCTCTGTCCTGCGCACACTATAGAGGGGATACATTACACTGATGCAGTTACAAAGTCATTCACTGCTTGGAAATGCCTATGAGGTAAGATCGGTGGGGGACAATGGCTTCAATCACTCTGGGTGGTTGTCAACAATATCACCTATTGTGTGGAGAGAGGTATAGACGTTTCAGGATATCAGCAGCATTAGTATCAAACAATTTCACATGGTTTAAGACTCCAGGTGTGATTTGCACCACTTTTTTCGGAGCTCAGGAAACATCGAACCCTCCCAAACTAAGATGGCCCCCTGAGGTGGAGGTATTAAATGAGCAGGGCCTCCGATCACACTTGAAGAAGTGGAACAGTAGGGTCCGGCTGGGGCAAGGGCCGTGTGGCAAATCGTTGTTCCCTGTAAACATCAAGATAAGGGGGACAACTCAGAGCCGCTCTGTGTGGGCCTCGGTGCAGTTTGGCCAGGCCTTTCACTCAAGTAAAGTGCAGTAATGAATGAATACTGGCGAGGGCGCAACCCAGGCTGAAGGTGGCACTTCCTGAGCTTCCATGAAGTGCCCAGGAGCCCGGGGCGGCCTCCTACCGCCGGCACCTCGCTGCCAATACTAATACATTCTAAATCCATTCTCTTCGCTCACACCGCCAGGCTCCTGCAATCTCCACTGCTTCCCTTTCATGCAATTAAATAGTGGAAGTGCCAAGCGAGGGGGAAAGCCCTATCAGCCGTGCTGCACATACACACACGCGCGGCTCCATCTCCACATTCAATTTACACACTTCGATATCATCATCCTCTCTGCAGTACTTCCTCCACTTTGCTCTTCACAGCAGCCAGACTTGAAATACAGACATTAAACAACACTGCTTCTGTAAACACAATTAGAATCTCACCTCAGCGATGACAGAAAATTTTAGATACCTGTGTCAACAGCAGCTGAGGGACAGCGAGGACTGAGAAGGTCCACTGTGAGGATGTGACACAGGGACGGCAAAGAGCCTGAGCATATGCGGGTACGCTTATACATTTGAGTGTGAGTGTGTGTGTGCATATGAGTGAAGCTCCGGTTGTCGACTGTGCTGATGAGCTGAAGCCCTGTCCTGCAGTCTCTGAGGGGATTAACCCACTCAATGACACTAAATTACAGGGATCAACATCAGCTCAACACATCCACCACTGTCTGTGCTGCTCTAACTGGATCAAATGTGGATGAACGGCAGTAATACGACTGCACACGTAACTAAAACTGAACAGTGAATACATTAACGTTTTTATTTGGGTGTACTAATACAACTGAAGTCATTTCACTAGTATTGTTATCGACGGCATGTTCCTTTTTTTTCTCAAAACTGTCACACTGTAGTATTTTTCTTTAAATAAAGGTTTCAATCAGCGACCCTGCGAAATCAACCATCTCCACACAGCAAACAAAAGATAACACAGAGACATTCAACGGCTGATACAGAGGAGCTAAGCGCCTCTCAATCAATCATAATTCTCCACCGTGTACTCCATTGTTACAAAGTACATTCACAGAATAACAAATAAGACCTTTGTGCAGTGGCGCTTGAAATGGTAACCTTTAACTCCGAGGACAGCTGTCAAACAGCCGCCCTGTTCAGCAGCGCAGCACACATCACCTAACACACGTGTAAACACGTGTCAACCCTCTGTCACAATAGGCACACAGGGTCGTAACACACACGCTCACACACAAAAAAAAATGAAGCCAAAATTTTTTTTTCCAACTTCATAAATATGTGGCAAGAAGGAATAAAATGGCTGCAGAGGAGGATTCAATTTCTTTTAAAGGTCAGTTTGCATGTAGGTGGAGGATAAAAAAATTGTCCCTTCAAATTTGTGATAATTTTCACCTGTTTCCTTTTTCCTTTTTATGTAAAAGAGCTAAATGAGAACATTTCCCTCCAATGAAAAAACAAATGTATAAAAATATAAAAATCAAATAATATCCAGGATGAACTCATTGATCTGAGTTGCCTAATATTTGTTAATTAAAAAATAAAAAATAAAAAAGTTTCAGACAAATCTCCACAGGAACATTGTCTCTTTTCGGCAAATCTCTAAGGCTCCTCTAGCATTGATGTTGCCATGAAGATTACCAAAGGAATAGTTAACTTCACCTGGATATGTCTGCTAGTGTATGAAAAAAAACACATTTTATCTTATCTCCTCACTTGTTAAATGAGGAAAGGGTTAAAAAAAAAACTGTTTCGGAAACAGTTGTCCATAAATCTAGTCACACACAAACACACACAGTGTTATTTACTAGCCCAGAGGTCAGGCTGTAATGAGTGGACTGGTCATATAATGGCAACTGATAGACACACAACAGCAATCAGATGGCACTGCCTTTTTAAGCCTCTCCTTTTTGCTCTTCAGTTGAACAGATTATTACATTATTGAAAAGTGTTTGTGCTCCACCTGTGTGACAGTTACCCAGTCACACCTTGATAAGCCGTCAGTACATCAAATATGTAACACAACAGCTGCACAAAAAAACAAAAGCCAAAGATTAGGACCTGTGCTGTTGGCTCCCGATGCAGCATTTGCAGTAGGAAAGCTCTGTTGCTACACCCACTTTTAAATGTGAGTGTAAACCACAAACTGGTGAACACCCTCAAATCATATTTGGACTTGTTACCACCTTATTATGACTCATTAAACAGACTCGGATCTCTCTGCAAATTCCCACCTGAGCCGATTGTGTTGTACATGCATTTCACTATGAAAAGATTAGGCTGAGTAATTATCTTCTGACAGGTGAACAATGCCCCGGAAAAAAATTAAACTTATCAAAGTGGGCCACTTGACAGTTCAGTTTGGATTTCAATGACAGATTGGAGTCACATTAATTCACCTGATTAACTGGCTTGTAATTAAAACCACAGGAAAAAAAATATCCATGAGCAACAGAAAACAACGGTACAGTATATTCTGTGACGATCATTTCACTTTCACTCTTAGAGTCTCTTGAGTAAAGTCAAACACATTCAGCATGTGTTTGCTCACTTTTCAAATCAAGTCCATCAGCTCGCTCCATCGATCCAGTTGCCACAGCCTGCAAAGCTAATGAGATAATCGAGGATTTCTGACACAGAGCCCAAGACAAACACGCGTGTTTACACAACACCCGTGTTCAAACACGACACTGTCCAACAACTACTGCAAAAAGCAGTCATTCAATATGACTGTTTTGTCCATGCTCATAATAGTGTATGCTCATTTTAGTCGTGCAGAACACATTACGACTGGATAGTGAGTCATTTTGCAGAGTTTGTGACTGCCATTTCATCAGTCCACACTTAAAACAAAGGACAATATAATTAACCTCAATGAAATCATTAATTAAAGGTTCATATTGAAAATGCAATTAATTAACACAGAAACAAAATGTGAAAATGTGCCTGTTAATACAATATTCATTCAGTAGAAAATAATTATATTAGATTTTGATTATAACGTGATCGTCACTATCAGAGTATTTAGTATTAAGTAGAAAAATACTAATTTAGTATTTATGTTTTTCTTGATCATTCATACTAGTTTGACAAATACCTCAAACATATTTCCCATATGTGGTAGTATTTTTACTAAGAACAGAGTAAAAACAAGTTATTATGTACAGGTAAAATACACAGATAAAAAACACCTCCAATAAAAATCTAGGACTTTTTTAAAGTACTGTTTTTATTTTTATTTTTTGTCATCATAATTTTTTGCCTTATTATATATCACAGAAATTCAAGGATATGACAGTCTTTTGAGATTAAAAACCGGAATGTAAAGATGATCGAAATGTGACTTAACAGTAGTAGCCTGCGCTCTAGTGGTAAGATGTTGCTATAGCAACAGCTCATAATCAACCCTAAGTTCCTGTGTAACCCCATTCCACACTAGCCATGGACTTTAGTTGTAAAATGATTATGTGAAGGAGAGATTGACACCACAGTGAGTGACTTACCTATAGGATTGATGTCGAAAAACTGCATTGGCGTCCGTACGATGGCGTTGAACATGCTGTTGTGCAGCCTTTGTGATGATGTCACCAGGATGTTAAAGAAGAGCATAGCACGGAGGAAGCTGAACACAACTGAAGCACCAGTGAGACCTGAACAGGACGGATGAGTTAGATACACAATGGCAACTTTAACACAGGGATTTAACGTGTGTGTGTGTTTTATTTGTTGTCTAGACACAGTGTTACTGGTTTTAAATTCAGATCTTTTGCCGTGGTTACTTATCCTTAAAGAGTGAAAAGCATTAAAGTCACAGGAAAATAATCAGGGCAGTGAATAAGAAGAGCTCTGCTATCTCCCTGTACAGCTGAGACCTGTGCACACACACTGGGCCTTGAAGGCCTTGGGCCACAGCCAAAGCACCCACAGCCTATTCCTTGAATGGCTGTGAATTGAGAGCTTCACAGTAAATTAAAAAAAAAAAAAAAAAAAACAGGAAGCTATGTGTGCATCGTGGGCTTCACCTGCGTAAACACCCAGGTACAAGTCAAGGTCTGAGTGCTGAGGCAAGGTGCCATTGAGGTGCTCTGTCACAGTGATGTTCGTCTGTTCAGAGGCCCTGCAAGTCAGCCACAAAAGATACAAATAAATAAAAAAATAAATTGCAATGACAAAAACACACACACACACACACACACACACACACACACACACACACACAAAGGACTGAGAGCTGCAACACAGAGGTGGGAGACGAAACACATTCCACTTGGCCTAAAACACAAGGTCAGTTTCAACAAGCAACAAATAATGCTGGGGAGAAAAACAGTTTGTTGTAGTCATCTTTTATGAAATTATCAACTACTCACCACTTGTACAAATATGTCAAGATGGCTTTTAAAAAATGTTTGCCCCCCCATCCCCCCAAAGTTTGTAAAAGAAATGTGAAATCTTACCAGCGAGCCAACCACCAGTCCTGTAGGACAAATGTTACCTGAAAAAAATAGAAAACATCAGTATTTTATTAGTATTAGCTGCACATATTTTCTTCAACCTTTTATTATTAGGCACCATGCAGATGAACTTTGCTGGAAGATTCACTCACTTGTCCGAGGGCATTCAGAACCACGAGAACCAAGAGTACCAGCACGTTTGCACCTGCCAAAAAATATTTGGTATAGACACGCACCCCGATGTTTCCCTCCGCACGTCCTTCCTCCTCGGGTTGCTCCTCTGCCTGCAAATTGATACGTTGACATTTTAGCAAGGCATTAAAATCGGGCTATAGTCGAGTATGTGCTGCTCTCTAGTGGTTGACAGGAGGAACAACAGGCCTCGTGTGTCCAAAAAAAGAAAGGGGACCGTCGAAAAGACAGCACTTACAACTACAAGTGGTTCCACCCCTTCAATCAAAGAGTATTTCGAGGAGGACAGGGAGGACATGGACGACAAGCAGTTATCTGGAGGTGCGTGGGACAAGTCAGAGACAGACCCTGGGACTGGAGATGTGCCTTGTCTTTCTTCATTTTGGTCATCCTCCTTGAGCAAAGAAGTAAAGTCAACTCCAGAGCACTGCAGCTCACTGAATGTGCCCTGTGCCACCATCTGACCCTGGAGAGAGGGGGGAAAAAAGTTGATCATAGTTTATGTGTTTTTTAAAAGTTACCACGATTAAAGACTGTAGTAGGAGGCGAAAAAGAAGCAGGAAAGAGTAGGAGAAGAGTAACAGGAGGATAGCACAACAGAATTATGTCAACAAAAAAGTTCACTGGTGTGACTGCGTATGACCAACTGCTATTATCAACTGTTGTCCATTAAATGTTATATGCATGCATAGATTGTGTTGTGCACTAAAATGTGAGCAAATATATTTGTTTTCTGATAACTTCATTATAACACATCATAACTGCTTAAATCTGTGTAACTTTTATTATTTTAGATTTGATAGCATTTGTAATAAATGTCATATTCTTTATACATTTTATCGATTTAGAAATGTATTAGTTTTTTTGGAAATAAACTGTATTTATTTACTTGTTTGCTTTTTTGTCATCTTTGAATATTTTATATACTTTGGGTTATTTTAGATGAAAGTTCAAAAGAAAAGTGTGAAGAAACATTGAAAATATCACAATTTTGCAATAAATACACTGCGTTTCCCAATCAAATGAGTAATCAGTTAAAATAATCAGGATTAACCTAATGAACAAAAGAATCCTATAATTATTTTTGGATAATGAAAACAAGATATGCTCACAAACATATCAGATGTACAGAATCAACTGTCTTAGAATATCAGGACCATCACAACAATAACATAACCTCTCTCTCAGATGAGAGAACAATAATTAACACACATGAACACAAACCTCTTTTAAAACCACTATATGATCTGCAGCCTTCAGATACTGCAGCTGGTGAGTCACCAAGATGCGAAGCTTGTTCTTCAAAAGGCCACAAATGCACCTAAGTTTAAAACACAAAAACCCACAAAAATGTGATTTCCTCAGAAAATTGTTTTAGATTTTTATCGCACTGTTTTATTGGACCATTAGGGAAAATGACTAAATACTTACTCTTCAAAGAGGTGGCGACCCACCTCTGCATCCACAGCACTGAGGGGATCATCCAGCAGGTAGATGTCTCCATCCTGATACAGTGATCTGAAAAAAAATCACAAATAGCATTATGTGATCCACCACTATCTTATCATGTACCACTAGAGGGCGCCCAATTTCCAATAGTGATGTCGCAAACCTGGCCAAGCTGATCCTGGCCTTCTGTCCTCCACTCAGGTTCATCCCTCTGTCCCCCACAATCACTGAGTCACCGCCTGGTAACTGCTCCAGATCCTGAAACACAAGAAATTTTAATATATATATTTTTTCACATTTAAACCTGACTACAGATTATGTACTGTGTTTGTTATGTACATATCAGACTTAAACATACTGTAAGGTGTAATTTGCCATAAGGGAAAGAAAAATGCAGATATTTACACAGATTTGCATTTTTTGGAGTTACCTCGTGCCTTTCCTTTATCTTGTCTGTGTTTAATTTCAGACATCGGGTTACGTATGCTTAGTTTGACCCATTTCTACTGTATTTAGCACCATTGTTTACATTATACACAGGCATAAAACAGACAAGTTCTAGATATAACACGCTATAACACAAAAGGCAGCAATGCCCTTTGCAGGATCATAAGTTTTAATTTCAAATATTTCTATGGCCTTTTGACACAAACCCTCACTTTTTTAATGTGCTTGAAATGTGAAGCTTCCCAGAAATGTGTTTCTTACCTTCTTCAGGGCACAGACAGTCAAAATCTTATCATACTTCTGCGGATCAAATTCTTTCCCAAAAAGGATGTTGCTTCGAATGGTACCAGGTAAAATCCAGGGCTGCTGGGAGGTGTAGGTCAGCTCTCCGTTTATTTTGATTTTGCCACATTCATGACTCAGTTCTCCCAGGATAGCACTCAGGAGAGAAGACTGACAGGCAAAAGCACAAAAAAAAACCTGAGTTAGGGATAACCTGACCTTTTTGCTTCAACATCATTTTCACTTTCTCTTTGGTGTTTTTGTTGTTCAAATTTAGCAGAGAAAGAGACTGAAATTTCCACAAGAGAAAACTGTTTCAAATTATGTAAGGTGGAGGGAAACAAGCACTCAGTAATGACACACACCCATGAAAATACTACATAAACACCTGACAGAAATACTAATTTAGAACCAGGCTAAAGTCCTAACCCCACTGACAGGACACACCTTTCCAGCACCAACTGGTCCAATGACTGCCACGAGCTGTTCAGGCCTCACTGAGAAAGACAGGTTGTGTAGAGTTGGAGTATCCAGACTCTGTGAGACAAACATAAATTACAAATTCACTGACTCAAAGTTCAAAATCAGGTGTTCAATCATCCGTGTAGTATAAACATTTTGTAGTTTTAAAACAAATTCTCACCTTATCCCAGTAGCACCTCAGATCTTTAATCTCAATGATGCAAGCCTTCGTATCTATCACAGGAAGTTCAAGGCACTGAGGAGCAACTTCATCCAATTGAAGAAACTCCTTCAGGAGCAGAGTAGATTCAGAGCTTTAGGTATTTTTTTAAATAAAGTCAAGCTTTTAGTATATATATATCTATACATATATATATATATATATACACACACTTATATATGTATCCATACATATATACATATACACTCACTGGCCACTTTATTAGGTACACCTGTCCAACTGCTCGTTAACACTTAATTTCTGATCAGCCAATCACATGGTGGCAACTCAGTGCATTTAGGCATGTAGACATGGTCAAGACAATCTCCTGCAGTTCAAACCGAGCATCAGTATGGGGAAGAAAGGTGATTTGAGTGACTTTGAACGTGGCATGGTTGTTGGTGCCAGAAGGGCTGGTCTGAGTATTTCAGAAACTGCTGATCTACTGGGATTTTCACGCACAACCATCTCTAGGGTTTACAGAGAATGGTCCGAAAAAGAAAAAATATCCAGTGAGCGGCAGTTCTGTGGGCGGAAATGCCTTGTTGATGCCAGAGGTCAGAGGAGAATGGCCAGACTGGTTCGAGCTGATAGAAAGGCAACAGTGACTCAAATAACCACCCGTTACAACCAAGGTAGGCAGAAGAGCATCTCTGAACGCACAGTACGTCCAACTTTGAGGCAGATGGGCTACAGCAGCAGAAGACCACACCGGGTGCCACTCCTTTCAGCTAAGAACAGGAAACTGAGGCTACAATTTGCACAAGCTCATCGAAATTGGACAATAGAAGATTGGAAAAACGTTGCCTGGTCTGATCAGTCTCGATTTCTGCTGCGACATTCGGATGGTAGGGTCAGAATTTGGCGTCGACAACATGAAAGCATGGATCCATCCTGCCTTGTATCAACGGTTCAGGCGGGTGGTGGTGGTGTAATGGTGTGGGGAATATTTTCTTGGCACTCTTTAGGCCCCTTGGTACCAATTGAGCATCGTTGCAACGCCACAGCCTACCTGAGTATTGTTGCTGACCATGTCCATCCCTTTATGACCACAATGTACCCAAC